CACCTAAAATGTTGAGTGACACCCAAGTGATTGGGAACAGCAATTTGTCAAATGAAGTGCGACAGGCGAGTACTAATACGCAAAGTACACTTAACTCTCAAAGTAAATCTGAGAGGAGGAGGCGTTCTGGAAACTTACTAGTCGGCAAATTGACCAGTGATAGTGCATGCCCCCTGAAAGCAGCAAATTCAGCTCAACAAAACCGTCAGTACCAGTACCACGTCACATCACAATTGGATACAAAGACTGAAATGCAGGCTTTAGCCAATTACCTGAAGGGCTTTGCTGCATCAGTACAGGTCGAGGAGCTGAATGCCAGGTATCCAGAAAGTTACAAATCATTCAAGGTGACATTATTAGCTACCGAAGCGGACAATATACTAAAGAGCGACATATGGCCGGATGGGTAATAATCAACCGATTTTTTCGCTCTAGAAGGAGATCAAACACGTCAGCGGGTCAACAACGCCCAATGCCTACGAACCCTTCACATCAATGTACAGGGCTTGCCAAGCAAGATTGATGATCTCAATTTGTGGTTAAATGATAATCCTGTAGATGTATTATGCATTTCTGAACATTGGCTTAGTGATGATCATTTGGCAATGGTAAACCTAAACCAATATTCTCTTATATCCTTTTACTGTCGCCCTCCAAGATTACATGGTGGTGTTGCTATATTTGCACGAATGAATCAGCAAATTAAACCCTTGGATTTAAATAAGTTTGTGTTCCATTCCATGCTGAATTTTGTGGGGCAACAATTGGTAATATTGCTATTATAACTGTTTATAGATCTCCTTGTTTAGGAAATCCTTCATTATTTATTGATGCCTTCAATAGTTTACTGAATAGTATTTATTCTAGACATAAGAACTTATTGATACTTGGCGACTTTAATTTAGATTTCAGCAGTAATGTTCAAACAGTGACACACCTATGTAATATTTCAAATTCATTTGGCTTACGTCAATGTATTTATGAAATACCAGAGTTACACCTACTTCGGCGTCTTGTTTGGATAATATATTGACCAACTTGAACAATGATAATATTGAGACAGGGACAATAGATTTGAACATTTCCGACCACTTAGGAATTTTTTGTGATTTTTTTATATTACAAGATGAGATTCATTCAATCAAACCGCCCAAAAGACGCATTATTACAAAAAAAAGAATGGTTTCATTTGCCAACAGAATCCATAGTATGGCGTCCGACATGAATGTAGATTCTAACTCTGCAGATAACATGGCAAATAGTATCTACCGTTTAATATCAAACTGTATCGATAATTGTTTTCCGTTAAAAGCTGTGGATAAGTCAGCTCACAACGTTAAGTGGTATACGCAGACACTGAAGCAGCTAAGGAAAGATATGGTGAACGCAAAGAGCCAGTTTTCGCATAGCGGGGATGAGCGTGATTGGGAGAGGTATAAGGATATACGTAGAATATACCGTCAAAAATTGAAATTGGAAAAAGGAACTTTTACTCTGAAATGATACACCAGGCGGAAAATAAAACTAAAGCAATCTGGAAGATAGTCGATAGCGAGAAAGGCATCAGGAAACAGAAACACACAAACGTCTCAAGTGATGAATTCAATAGTTTTTTCAGTACTATTTCTTGTAAAATTCTTGAGGGCATTGAAAAGCCTACTATTAAGTACTTGTATCTCCTCAACCGTACTCCCAAGACACCGCATTCGTTCTTCATGTCTGCGATACTCCAAACAGATGTGAGATGTGCTATAGCTCAACTAAAAACTCACCCTCACTCGACTTCTATGGTATGAACAGTGCTATGTTGAAAACAGCCAGTGAGGATTTCATTGAACCTTTAACAATACTATTTAATATGTGTTAATGAAGGCGTATGGCCTGATGCTTTTAAATTGTCAAAGGTCATTCCCATTCATAAGAAAGGGAATGAAGATAATCTCGATAACTATAGGCCAATCACAATAATTCCATTAATAAGTAAATTATTCGAAATTGTAATCAAAGAAAAATTAATAAAGTACTTTGAAAAGCACTCCCTCCTTTCAGATTCCCAATTTGGTTTTCGAAAGCACTGTTCAACCATTAAAGCCATTCTTAGTTTTCTTGAGGATGCATTATTGTGCATTGACAAGAGAACCACCGCTCTAGCAACTATGTGTGACTTAACCAAGGCTTTTGACTGTGTAGACGCAGTTATACTGCTTGACAAATTGGAGTACTATGGGATCCGTGGCAAGCCATCACAGCTTATGAGATCATACTTAGCTAATAGGAGACAGATGGTTAGCCTTGATGGAGTAGAATCCCAGGTTCTACCGATTACGAACGGGGTACCCCAGGGCTCTGTCTTGGGCCCTCTATTATTTTTAATCTACATCAATGACCTCCCACAAAATGTCAACAATAGCAAATGCTACCTTTTTGCAGACGACACTACTCTGCTCTCCAAGGCTACCCAACTTGACGAGGCCCACAGTCTCGACCAGGTTAAGTGGTGGTTCTCCGCAAACAAGCTCAAACTTAATGAAGCGAAAACCAGCAAGCTAAGAATAACATCAGACAAATGGAATGAGACTTCATCATCCGTAAAGTTATTAGGGATCGTTGTGGATAGCCGCTTGACCTGGTCGGAGCATGTGGACCAGGTTTGTACCAAGATTTCCAGACAGATGTTTATCATGCGGCAACTGGCTCAGTGTTTGCACAGACAAACCAGGAGAACTGTATACTTTAGCCTCATTCATAGTCATCTGTCGTATGGTATCATCCTCTGGGGTAATTCTGTCAATGCCCAAAAAGCATTTACAATGCAAAAGGCTGCTATACGGATTGTAGCTGGCGTCTCCTACGATCATACGTGCCGCGGTTTGTTCAAAGAGATGCGCATACTGCCGTTAGCATGCCTGCTCATACATGAGACCCTTTTACATGTTCACGCAAACCTGAGTACTTTTTCGATAAGATCAGAGACACACAGCTATAATACAAGATACGCTAATGATATATCATTACCGCAATCTAGGATCGCCATGACACACAAACAAGATTAATGTGTCGCTTTACAATAACTTTGTTAGATATCATAAGCGGTCCAATATTGAGAAGATGTCTAACAAACAGTTCTCTAGGTTTGTCAAAAACTATTTGTTAAGAAACTGCTGCTATACTGTAAGTGAATATTTAAGTGCATGTGATCCTAGTGATCAGTGATCGTGTGTAGAGCAAGAAGACAGACTCTGTATAAACTTTATCTAGTTTGTGACTTCAAACATATATCTCTATGTATAGGTGGTCAATAAATCGTATGGTATGGTATGGTATGGTATGGTATTGCTATTATTATTATTATCATTATTATTATAATTATGATTATTATTATTATAATTATTGTTTTATTACTATTATAATTATTATTATTATTATTATTATTTTATTATTATTATTATATTATTATTATTATTATATTATTATAATTATATTATTATTATTATATTATTATTTATTTAATTATTATTATTTTTTATTTTTTTATTATAGCCGTAGGGCTTTGTTACTCCCGTTAATCGGGGTGTTCTGGCTTAACCCGGACGCTTCAAGCATCAAAGGGGTAAGCCTCAATAGTGACCTCCCTAGGTACTTGCATTTCCCATAAATTTTCTTACTATGCGGGCAGTTGCCAGCAAAACTCCTTTCTGTATGATTTTGTAAATGTTTTCACTCAGTTCCAGCGCTTTGATGTTTTCTAGCAGCCTTCTTGGTATCACCCCTGTAGATGACATTATTATTGGTATTGTTTCCACGTACTTCATTTTCCACTGGCGTTTAATTTGAAATTCTAGCTCCCTGTATTTTGCAACTTTCTCATTATGTTTGTATGTTAAATTGTTACTATTAGGTATGGCCACATCAATCAGTGTTACTTTCTGGGCGTCCTTGTCGACAATGATTATGTCAGGTCTGTTTTGTTTTATGTATTGGTCCGTAAGCACAGTGCGATCCCAGTATAGTTTATACTTGTCGTTCTCGAGGACACATTGCGGTGTATATTTGTAGTACTGTAGCTTGCATTCGATCAGTTTGAATTTGTATGCCAACTCCTGGTGAATGATTTTGGCAGCTATGTCGTGGCGCTCCTTATAGTCCGTTGGAGCGAATGCTTGGCATCCACCAGTTACGTGCTGTATTGTTTCGGAGTCCTGACAGCCGTACCTGCATTTATCAGACTGTTGCAAGTTCTTAAGTATGAACCTCTTGTAATTGTTGGTAGGAATGACCTGGTCCTGTATAGCTACAAGGAATCCCTCAGTCTCAGGGAACATTTGGCCTGAGGTAAGCCAATAGTTTGACGCTTTCTTGTCAACGTTTTCTTGGCTAATCTCGTTGGCATGTCTCCCATGTAGAGGTTTTTCAATCCATCGTTGTAGCTTCTGTTCGTTGGTTTGGTGACTCGGTTGGTCATCTCGTCTACTAAGGTGTAAGGGCGTTGTGTCATCTATTGAGCATATGATGCGATGCAGCTCAGAGATCTCGGCCTTCTCAAAGAAGTAGGATCGCAAGGCGAGTACCTGTTGAGCTAGCTGCTTGCTGATGTCCATTAGACCTCTTCCTCCTAACTGTCGGGGTAAGGTTGTGCGCTCTATTGCACTGCGAGGATGGTGCGCTCCTTTTTTTGTTAGCATAGTCCTTACCCGCCTCTAGTTTCTCGATGTCAGTTTTACTCCACAGAACTATACCGAACGAGTAGTTCAAGGCAGAGCATGCGTAGGTGTTAATCGCCTTGACTAGATTCTTACTATTGAGTTCTGTTTTCAGAAGTAGCCGTATTCTTTTTGTGAAGGTCTGCGATATAGCTTCCTTCATTTTTTTATGGTCTATCCTTCGGGCCTGCGCCATTCCAAGGTACTTGTATGTGTCATTTGCGTCCATTGCGTCAATGTTTTGGCCTCTGCAGCTTGAAAATCCTCCAGGGTAGATGTTCCCCCTACGTATAGATAAGGTTTTGCATTTATCCATCCCAAATCGCATACTTATGTCATCTGAGAAACTGACCGACTATCTCTAGCAGCTGTTTCATTTGATTCTCAGTAGCAGCTATTACCTTTAGGTCGTCCATATACAGCAAGTGGTTCAGTTTTATGGATGCGTTCCTGTTATCTTTCAGACTATATCCATACCCTGTTGCATTTAAGAGGTTTGAGAGGGGATTTATAGCTAGGCAAAACCATAGGGGACTTAATGAATCACCCTGAAAGAGACCTCTTCGGATAGAGATCGTCTCAGTTTGAATGGTGCTGGTCCCGTTTGTATGCAGTGTTATTCTGGTTCTCCAGGTCTTCAGCATATGTTCTAATAGGGCCACTACATGCTCATCTACCTTATAGAGCCTCAGCACCCTGACAAGCCACTCATGAGGTACAGAATCGTATGCCTTCTGATAGTCGATGTACGTAATGTATAGGTTCCTTTTGTTGGTATAGGCTTGGTTACAGATGACTGAGTCGATAGCCAGCTGTTCTTTGCATCCCATAGCTCCCTTAGCACAGCCTTTTTGTTGTGGCGCAATAATATCGTTTTCTTCACAATGAGCATAAATTCGCTTCGATATACAAGCAGTGACCACCTTGTATAGCGTAGGAAGGCAGGTAATTGGGCGGTATTTTGCTGGGTCTTCTGTATTATTGTGATCTTTTGGTATTAATACCGTTAGCCCTTGTGTTAGGAACGTTGGAGTCTTATTTGGATTCAAAAGCATGTCATTGATATATCTTGTTAGTTGTTCATGCATGCACCAAAGCTTCTTTATCCAGTAGCCATGAATCTGGTCTGGGCCCGGGGCCTTCCAATTATGCAACTGCTTAACGATATCCACGATTTCTTGTTTGGTATATGCCCTATACTGCATGGGATTGCAATAATGGCTCTTCGCTTCTTCATCTGTAATCCATCCTGCACACTTGTTGTAATAAGCTGTCGAGCCAAACTGCTTGCCCCAAAATTCCTCTACTTGGTCCTTTGTGGGCACCGTTTTGCTCTTTTCCTGGGGTTCGGATGACAGTTTCCTGTAGAATGCCTTTTCGGATCGTTGAAAGAGCGCATTGTCGTGCTTTTCTGTGACTGGACGCTTTATACCTTTTTCAATCGCTGAGTATATACGGACAGTTTTGCTTCAAGGTATCAAGGCATTGCCACTCGTTGATGTTAGTTGCGTCTTGGTGAGAATGATGGTGGAGTCGTTGCATTATTTCCATAGCTTTGCTTTCGGACTTTTCGAGTTGTTATTCCTCGTGTGAATTGGGTAAGACGTCCGATATCTCTGCGAATTTCTGCCGTTCTTCTTTCCAGACGTTTTTCCCATTTTGGTGTTATTGGTTTTACTGAATTTTCAGTAATCTTTTGAGTTGGCATTTTGACACCAAGTGTTCTTACTGTTGCAACAGCTGCACAGTATATCAGTGTGTGAAGTTGTTCTATACAGTTGGAGTGTGCTAGATACTCTGGCAGGATCTGTTTATTTAACTGACACAATACCACAGCAAGCTTTCTAGATGACTTCAACTTTGGTAATGGTGGTCTTTCTAGCGGGTTCGTTCCATCAAATTCGGCATATGCTCTACCCATTTCAGTTATTAATATACCAAATATTTCTGTGTCTTGATCATTACTGTCGTCAACTCCAGGCTGTTCACTTTCTATCTGTTCTTGCTCAGATTGACCATTATCGCGTATTTCGTTATTACTCCCTTCTTGTTGCATAAGATCAAGCTGCACTTCCTGTTTGATGGCATTCAGCCGTGGTTGTGGGATAAGATTATTTTTGATTATCACTCGATATTGGTCTGCCACTCTCTCTGAGATACTTTGATCTCCGGATATTCACTACAGAAAGCGGTATGAAGTCGTGGTCTGTAGCCGATTGTTTCTCTACCTAGGTTGGTAACTTTGTAGAAGATTCGCATGATTGACTCATTCATGGACACCGTCCACTTTATACGTCTTCTAGGGAGACCTGCTTGAGTGAGCACTGGCTGAGATTCCTGTGCAGCACTTTCGGCAGCGGTGGCACTAGTTGTTGTTTGGCTACCACTTTGTTGGGGGGCTGTTGCTTCTTGGACGACAGGGGCCCGCCCTCAGCACCCTGCCACCGACGTCCCGCATGCTGTCATATCCAGCGCCGGCTCCAGATATGCCCTGACGATCACCCTCAGGCAGCGACCTTTTTCCGAGGCTATATTCAAAATTCATCTCCATAAAGAAATTATGGGTGTGGCTCTTTTATACGACTCCATCTAGGAGCCGATATGTACACATTCTGCACATGATATGTTTTCCTGCACCAGGAGGAAGAGACACAAAAACCCCTGGCACACACTGGAGGATCGCTGGCTGTACCGTCTATCCTTGTTGTTGCTACGGTAGCGGGTTTGACACTGCTGGCAACAGTGTCCTAACCGGCCAGACATTATTATTATCATTATTATTATTATTATTACATTATTATATATTATAATTATTATATAATATTATTATTATTATAATTTTTGGTATTATTATTATATAATTATTGTAATTATTATTATTATTATCATTCTGTATTTCACTCCTAGAGGAAGGGATGAGCTTGACCGGAACTCTGCCTGAGTTCTAAGGTCTTTAGTCGGAAAGGGTTTTCCGCAAAATGTGGGCTGTTCCTAGCAGTGCTATCTTTTGAACTTGTGTTGCAAAGACATCTCCGGGGAGTTCTTTTATGTTGTCTTGAATGACATAGTGGCAGTCCCAAAGCTCCGATGATCACGGGTACGTTCTTGTCTTTGTCTTCCACATGCGCGATATTTCGATTCGAGGTCTTTGTATTTTTCTGGCCTTTTCCGCTTCTTGGTGTTGACGTTGTTGTCGTCTGGTACAGATACCTCAATTAGCAGACATATTATCATTATTATTAGTCACTATTATTAGTATTATAATTATTATTATTATTATAATCATAATTATTATTATTATTATTATTACAATTATCATATTATTATAATTACATTATTATTATAATTATTATCATTATCATTATTATAATTATTATTATTATTATTACTATAATTATTACTATTATTAATTATTATTATTATTATTATTATTAATATTATTATTATTATAATTATCCGTTTTCTGTTAGCTATTCTCTGCTACTGCAGGTGGTATCCTCAAACGCGGCATTATACTGCAAGCGTCTGAGTGTGACTATTGGTTTCTCTTTGTCTATGTGGCTACATTCAGGACCTGCGTGCTATATGACAACTACCTAAGATGGCAGCTTTCTGAAGTGAGAGGTATAGTTTCTGTGGCAGATTTAGTTTCTCAATATATTTATGTAGACTCTTAGGTATTTCTCCTGTGGCTCCGATCACTATTGGGATGACTTTCAACTTTTTCTTGATTCCACAGTGTTTTTACTTCTGCAGCTAGTGGTAAGTACTTGCGAACCTTTTCTGTCTGCTTCTCAGCTATGTTATGTGGGGCAGGCATACTAATGTCAATTATGCAGGTTACTTGCTTCATTTTATCTTGAACTGCGATATCTGGTTTGTTGTATTCCATGGTGTGATCTGTTTGAATTGTTCTATTCCAGTATATTTTATGGCTGTTAGTTTCTATAACTGGAGTCGGCTGGTACTTGTAATATGGGGTGCGGTCAGTTAGTATGTCGCAGCATAACAATTTCTTGGTGAACGATTTTAGCCACGTTGTCGTGGCGCTTCAGATACTCAGTGGAAGCTAGGGGAGTGCAGCTCGTCAGGATATGCTCTATTGTTTCCGACTTGTTATGGCATATACGACATCTATCTTCAATGCCTTCTTCTTTCATGATGTATTTTCTATAGTTTAAGGTTGGTGTCACCTGATCTTGATGCCAATCATGAATCCTTCAGTTTCCGAAAATAGCTCCCCACTTTTCAGCCATCCATGTGACGCTTCTGCATCAATGTTGATCTGAGCTGAGCATGGCTGGATGTCTTCCATGAAGCTGTTTGGACTTCCATTGATGATACCAGTGTTCGTCGGTGGACACATGGGTAGAGGTTCATCCTGTTCATCCGACAGGTTCAGTGTGTGAACTTGTAGTCAGCTGAAGCTATATTCTGTGATATGCAGATGTTTCGCCTTTTCTATAAAATAATCTCCTGAGGTTTTCTATATTCCGCAGGTTAGCTGCTTTAAGGTCAATCACGCCTCGTCCTCCTTGGATCTTGGCAAGTAGAATCTTTCGATCGAACTCTTGGGATGTCTTGCTCTATGATTTGTAAATAAGACTCTTATGTTTCTGTTT